TCTCAAGGTTTTTCTAATCAGAATGATATATAAAAAGCAGACACTTAGATGTCAGTAGAAACTTTCTTTGTGGGCATGTGTGAAATTTGTTTTCAAAATGTCCTTCACAGTCCTTTCACAGAACGTCTACTCTTGGTTATCCTAGTTTCCTTCATTTACTTAATTCATTCAAGTTTCCTTCACTTAATTGAGGTGGAAAAAAATAATTCAGTTGCCACTACTGTTAAACAACTGAGAGTCAGAAGACTTTGCTGACCTTCTATAGATCATCTACAGTTCTAACAGTTGGATCAGTAAGTCCTGGTTCTACCTGATCTAGTTTATGATTTTACAAGCAGTTCCAGGGTAAAAACTCATGTTTGCCTCCTGTTTTGTCTGGTGCTATCTTGCAGGATTAGACAGTCATAATAGAGTAGTGATTAAGATGTTGGATTTGCACTAAGGAAATTCACATTCAAGTTCACATTCAACCAGGAAGTTCACTGGATGAGTTTGGGCCAGTCATTGTGTCTCAGACCAACCTGCTTCATACAGTTCTTATTGTGAAGATAAAATTAAGGAGCTGTCAGAAAAAGACAGGCTATAAATACAACAACAGCAGCAACAAAAAAACCAAAATAAATGTTGTACACATTATCAGTAGCAGAAGATAAACTAACAGCAAGCCTAGCTTCCCCAATGTAGATTTAACCAAAGTTTGAGACAGAGCAACATCAAAGAAAGAGCTACTTTACAAAACCAGGCAGGAATTCCTGTACCATAACCTCCTGAGAGGTTCATTGGGGAGACATGTGGTAAGGGGGAAAGATTTGATGACAGTTTGACTGGCAGAATGAAGTGTGACCCTTGTTTGTTTGGATAGGCAAAGTACTTAGAGCAGATGTCTCAAGCTCATGTTGTTTTAGATAAAAGAACCCAGGCCTTCTTGTGGGATTAATGGACCAATCATGAACCCATCAGCTTGCCTCCCTCTTCTCAGTTTAAAGGACTAGCATTATCACCATCTTCCCAACACCCTTCTTCTAAAAAAAAGCAAAGAATTCAGAAGAGTTTCACAACCTGGAAAGATATTCTCAGGTCAAAGTAAAGGAGTTTATCAAATAAAATGCAGGTAGCAGCAGTTCTTCAAAACTCTAGATTAATGGTGTCCATAATTGAGTGACCATTTTTAAGTATATAGATTATTCTTCCAATTAACAAAGTCTTCCATGTGATGTACAAGAGATTTTTAAAAAATAGAACAGCAGAAACAACAAAACCTATAGATATAGATATAGATATAGATATAGATATAGATATAGATATAGATATAGATATAGATATAGATATAGATATAGATATAGATATGCCAGAATCTTGAGTAACAGAAAATCATCATGTGCAATAGATTAAGCCATAATTCAATATTCTTGCATCTTTTTACTCTGCAGCAGTGTGGAGGCAGGGGGCGGGCGGGCAGGGAACAGACCTGGATTGCAGTTGACAGTTTGAGGACAAGTAGGAATCAACAAGTTCCCTTGCAGGACTCTGCCTAATTTCCCTCCTCTTCACAGCTGGTGTATTTGTTTCCCTTCTATGAAGAATAGTGATTTGGAGGGCAGGTGCTCTTTCTACCAGAGAAGTGGGACTGAGAGAATGTTTAACTTCACCAGCATGATGGTCCTAGCTCCTGGACATCTTTTAGGAAAACCATAACACATAGATGGTAGTCATATTTAAAGACCTGGCAGAACAGGTAATTGTTCTTGCAAATACACATACTTATCTACCCTCTTAAAGATCAGAAATTTACCTTAGGACTGGTAATAAAGTGCTTCATTGTGAATATGTCCTTAGTGGGATGGACATAGATGTGAAAAACTGTTCCTACTTTCACATGGTCTCACAGTATTGTAAACCAATATTTCTTAAACTATTCAACACACACACACACACAATCACATATACAGAACACCTAGGATTGTTTCTTTAAAACAAGAAAATAACTAAATGAAATCATGTAAGAAAGATGGTTATTAAAGCATGTTTTATTTTTCCTTATATTTAATACATCAAACATCTTAATGGGATGTATAAGTTTGCATATGGTAGCATATTTCATCAGTTTGTGAACTGAAATTTCTTTAAGAAAATCTTAGAGTCAGCGCAACATTCAACCTGTTCTGATCATTGGCCTTGATTGTAGCATGTGCTAAAAATCCACTTTCACAGAGTATGAAGCACAAGACAGTACACTTGTCAATGACCTTTCTGTCAAATATTCATTCTATGATTTTTCATCCAAAAGTCTTCTGATAATCCCTCCCCCTAAACCCCAGTTGTTTTAAAGTGATGTCTGAAGAAAGACTTGCCAATATCCCATCTTCATTTATGGAAGTGATTCTTGCTTGAAGAATGAAAATGGGTGGATCAAAACCTTCTTTTGGCTTTTTGGATCAGCTTGTTGGACATCTGTAAATTGTATGAAGAATGCTAATATTCCACAGTGTAAAAAGTTCAATTGTAAGCCATTCAGAGAACTTAGAGTTTATACAGTTTATAATATAAATGCTATGGGCCAGTCTATAACACACACATACATACATACAAATGTCTTGGATTAGAAATTGCATTGATCTAGCCAGGATTGCTTTGATTATACTGGCTTGGGGGTAACGCTGCATGTCCTGTTAAGTCCTTAGCTATTTAAGGGGATCACCTAGGCATCAGCTGTGGATATGAAGAGGTTTATGTTTGGATGTAGCTTCTTGGAGTTAAAATGTGGAAGTGGTCATATTTTTGGTTTTATGAACCTAAACTTTTTTGAGAGCTCTAGCAGCAAGACATGTAGTCACTGGAGGTGGGTATAATATCAAAGAATGAAAAGTTCTCAGGAGACATTCGGGGAATTCCTTGCCACTATGAAGGAGACTATAGCACTTAATGCAATGGCAGCAGATGGGTAAAGACCACAGGAACTTTGTCTGTCTGACATTCTGGAAGAACAAGCTAAGTAAGGGGAGAGGTGGAGGTGGATTGAAAGCTCCAAGGAAAATAATCACCATTAAGGTTAGTCTGTCTCATGATTGTTTCTTATTAAAAAAGAGACTGCACTTTATCTGTGCAGGATATGCACTTCAGATGAGGGAATTAGCAGAATGACTGCCTCCATATCATCTAATTAGCAAAAATGTTGATAAGCAGATACAATCACATATGATTAGGATCCTTTTTAAAAGCCACTCCATTAATTAAATAGACAGAGAGGCTGCCTCCAACCCTCACGTGCCACTGATCAGAATACAAATATTTACACTAATCTCACCTCCATCAGTCAGGGGACACTTTTGAGTATTTTCAGTGACATCTGATTACTATTGATTTTCATCCCCAATGTCAGGCCATTTTGTTAGTATCTGAAAGTGCTGCCTTCACTTTCGGATGCTTTAAATCATGTTAAGGGTTTATCTTAATGACGCTGCTGATAACCACTGCTCAGGTCACTCGTACTTTCTCTTCAAAGAACACAGCCTGGGCTGGTTTTTATTGTTTGTACTTGAGATTTAAGATACGAAAAACATTTCTCATTTCAAAGCCTCAGTTTCTAGGGACTGGGCTGCCTAGCTAGTTTCCCTGTGGGTAGTTATTTCATGTGGGCAGCACTCTTGTCCCACCCTTGATTTCTTCTCAGATTCCTTCTTCCTCTCCAGTGTTCCTACTTACCTCAATTCATAGCCTGTCTCTCTCTCCTCCCCTCAGTTACACAAGCCAAACTTACAGCAGTGGCAGGCACTGAAATTGCTGAGAGTCCATGATGCCTACTGTAGACTCTTGGAAGTGGGGACTGATCAGTTCCCGGGAAGAAATACACACCATTTCAGATTCAGCTAGCTATGGCCCAAAAAGGTAGTTTACATGCAAGGTTAGTGGTGAATCCAAGCAGCAGGGTGGAGCTGGGAGTGAGACTTGGGCTCATGCCCCATCAAAGAGGCATATTTGGCATGTACAAGCAGTGTCTTCACTCTGTATATGATGGGGCTATGCTGCACGATCTGTGTGCCATTTTCTGTCCATCAATATCAGTGGTAAAAGTCGAACCCACATTTGTCAGCAAGAAGCAGGAATCCAGGCACTGGTAGACTTTCTTTTTTATCAGAAGTTGGCTGGGGGAGATCCTATCCTCCCCTGCATTTTCTGTCACTGAGAGCTTCAGGGGGTGGAGGATGGGATGTGGGCAGGGATAAATTTATCTTTTTTTTTTTCTTTTCAAGGTGGCATTTTATCCTTTGAAATGTACTGTTCCTACCAAAAGGCTTTAAGTTGCTGCACTTCTTTTGTTTTCCACTTGAAATTGATGAAAATATATTCTGCTGATGTTCAGAAATTTGCTGTCAGATTTCAGTGACATGACTCTAGGAGGCTCCAAGGGCTGAAAAACAAGCACCCAGGGAACTGTATGCAACCTGTGCGTAACATACACTCTTTCCCTTCTTGTGGCTTATGAAATCAGTGCCCAACCAAGAGTATAAGATCACCTGAACCGGAACATGCCCAGTGTTGTTTTGGCAAACATTCATCATAAATCGAACAACACTGGCTACAAACTAGCAAAAGACTCTAAGGAGAGAGTCTTCCTACGAAAAGTTTCCAATCTAAGACTCCTGGCATGAGTTGCATCATAGATGTGAAATATGACCTTTCAAGAGAGCCAATTTACATAGCAGTCCCAACCAATAGGACTGGTGCATGTCTGAAAGGAATTAAAAGCCTCTGCCCACTGATTGGCTGAGATGCTTCTGATGTCACAATACTACTCAGCAGCAAATGCCTTGAAATCAAACAATATGAGCAAGCAGCCTTTCTCTTTCCCTTTGGCGCCAAAACCATTACCATTGGGCTGTGAGGAAAGAAGTGCCACAACTGAAACTACTGGATCCATTGGATCCAAACCATACAGGACCTTGTGTCCCCTGGGAAAACCAGCCAAGTAGTCTCCAAATCCAGCTACCTTTTTCTTTGGGATGGTTAATTATTACGAAGTCCTAGGACTGAACCAAAATGCCTCGCAAGAAGACATTAAAAGGGCCTACCGTAAGCTGGCATTAAAGTGGCACCCTGACAAGAACCCTTACAACAAGGAAGATGCAGAGAAGAAATTCAAAGCTGTAGCTGAGGCTTATGAAGTTCTGTCAGATCCTCAGAAACGCGCTCTCTATGACCGGCCTGTCAAAGAGCCAAGGTTCAGAGGGAGAGGGGCCTCTGGCACTTATTCCCACAGCCCCTTTGATTTTGACTTTGTGTTCCGCAGCCCTGAGGAGATCTTCAGAGAGTTTTTTGGAGGAATGGACATCTTCGCACATGATTTCTGGGACAATGAGTTTGACGATGACAATCGTCGAGAGGAAAACCGAACTGGGTTACAAAGTCCCTTTGGCCTCTTTTCCGGACTAGGTGCCTTTTCCAATTTTGCGTTTAATTCCCTTGGGCCCGGCGTGCACACTATGTTCTCCTGCAGGTCCTTTGGCGATGATAGCAGTGGAGCACAGAATTTCAGATCTGTAGCAACTTCTACGGAAGTGGTTAATGGACGGAGAATCACCACACGAAAAATTGTCGAGAATGGGCAAGAAAGGATTGAAATCGAAGAGGATGGTCAACTGAAGTCCATAAGAGTAAATGGAAGAGAACAGTTGAAATGCTAATAACGCTCCACATGTCTGTCCAAAAAGCAATAGTCAGCTGCTTGAACGATCTTAAAAGGACTCTTGTTCCGTAAAAACGGAAACCAACTAATAAACTCGTTCACTGAGTTCAAGACCTATGTGGTAATGACTTCTGAATTACTTGGAATAATTCTGTACTCTGGTGGTCAGGGTGTGATCCCCAAAATGAAATAGCTCATGTGATCACCTCAGTCTATGGTCAATGATCTTACTGTTTAGGTGGTTATCCTCTAAAATCAATTGCTGGGGGACTGGTAACTAACTTGGACAGGTGTTTAATTAGAATATTTTTGCCCCAAAATTTTGAGGACAGGATCAACTGTGCATACACAGCAGTGTAACTCTGAATGAAACAGAAAATATGTATTTATAAAGACAGTCATAAAAGATAGAAGAATTGGGATAGAAATTCTTCTGGATAAAAATGAATTCTGATGGTTTTGTAGGCATGTAGAAATAAAAATAACAATATCAGTGATCAAATCAACTTCTTTCTGGAGCTTTATGTCTTCTTTTAGATTAGAACATGCAAACTACATTAATATATTTTTGTATAGAATGAAAACACACACACACACATTCTTAGAAACACTTTACCTGTTTTTAAAATAAGCCAAGGATATATTATTTTTAAAAACTAGAAAATAATGTTCCCAAAAATGAAGATACAAAATTTATAAATGCCACATGAACTATTTGGGAAGTATAATGGCAAGAAGTAAGTTGGAAAGGTTAGTAGAGGCAACTAGGATACCCTCTGATAGGAAACAATGAATTTATCCAGTAAATCTTGAAACATGGAGTGGGAACAGTTCAAGAGATAAACAAAACAACAATAATTTAGGTTATGATTAGGGAACCCTTTCCCAAAGTCATGTATCTTTAATATTTTCCTGATTATATGATTATATCCTTTGCTGGACCAAAAAATTGAGTTGCTAAAGATCAGTGAGTATATTACTTTGATGGAAACATGAACCTGTTAAGTCTTAGCCTACCACATTTGCTGGACAAATTCAATGTATGCTAAGGCATTAGTCTGTCACACTACCTGTATTTAAATTAACATTATGCACTGATGTTAGAAAGACCATAGTGCTGTCAAAAATTTTAAAAACAATGTTTCTTATTATTTATGGCATTTATTGTTAAATTTACATCCTGTCTTTTTATTCAAGAACTCCTTCCTCCTATTTTCCCAACAACTTAACCCTGTGAGACAGGTTGGACTAAGTAAATGGTCAAAATCACCCACTGAGCTTCCATGGTTTGAAGCTGGGTCACTGTGGTCCTAGACCAAGAATTGCACCACTACACCACAATGCCTGATAGAACTCTTTGCTTAGATTTTGCATGTGGAATGTCTATGCTCAGTTCTTGGTACTTCTAATAAGGTTATTATGAGATAGCAGAGCTGAAATGGATCTTTTCCTGGCATCTAGAGGAGCCATGGTCCGTTAGCATGGGAAAAGTTGAAGGAGACAGCGCAGCATTGTTACTTTAGCACAGAACCCTGAAGTCATCTAGCAAGTCATACTTGATACATATTAGTCTGATATAAGCTAGATTTAGTCTGAAAGAAGATACAGTTTTTTAAAGTGTAGAAATGATATTTGAAGAAAGATGGCAAAACAAACTGCTATCTAATCAGGAGAACATTCACAATCATTTAATATGACTTTTATTAGGACTTACTACAATTCACAGTGCAGCCTGAAGCACTTCAAATCACATAGAGCCTCCTTTGGTCTTAAACCAATTGTATTCTTATAGTCTTCCATTCCTCCAAGAAGCTCAAGAGGGCATAATGGTTCTTTTCTCTGCCTTAATTTATGCTGACAACAGCCTACTGGCCCTGTCCTTACAGCATGCTTAACTGGTCAGTGGGGTTTGGGTATTGTAAAGGGATCCATCCCCTCCCTCAAAGATGTATTCACCATCACCTGGATTCAACCACACGTCTTCTCCTGGGAAGACTTAACCTACCATGGGACATGGGCATATACAGATATAGATCTAATATATAAGTGGCTATATTTACAGCCCTGAGGACTCTATTCACTTACGACCAACTGGCTCAAACTCTTCCCATGTGATCATACTAGACTGTGCCTCAATCCATTCCAAAGGGCTTACCCAGCTGAAATCCGACTAAGAGCAGATCCAAGTGATGTAATTGATACATGCCTATAGTAGTCTTCACAGCAGCCCTGCAGATATTCCTTTGCCCCCTCCTTTCCCAGGAGGGACTGAGTCATCCTAAACTGGGCCACTGGACAGCTATCTGTGGATGTGGTAAGAGTGGAAAAACAATTATGTTTTGCCACTCTTATCACCACAAGATAGTCTTTAAGAAAGGCTCTTACCTCTGGTTTTTTGTTTTCTGCCAGTGGTACTTTAGCTATCTCTTCTACTGCTTCATCTCCCAAAGCTCCTCTGAGAACCAGGGAGTATTCTGGGGTGCACAAGAGAGAGTCTGCATAGGTGTGATCTGATTTAAGACTGTTGCCACCCCCTCATTCCAGGCAGTGACCAAGACCAGAACATCACAGCCTCAGGAATGACCCCTAGTTTCCTCTGAAATTCAGCAGGACCCATCAGGTGCTTGTTGTGGATTGGCCCTTCCTCCCTGCAGTTAGGAGTGGCTGCAGAGAACTCCAAGGCTAACAGATATTATCTGACCAAGACAATGGATAATCAGTCTCATAACCAATTATTTGCAGAGTTACACCTTTGGAAGCCACCAGGGTTTCTTGGATGACCATAATCATTCCATCACCCCTGCCCTGGGGTTGCTGGTGCCACACACTTGACAACCAGGTAGTCACATTCCAAGAGAGAATCTACTGTCCCCATGCCCATCCAGGCCTCAGTAATGCATAGCAGGTCAGCCCTCTCATCCACTATTAGATCATGGATGTGGGAGGCCATTCAGTAGCAGCAGCTGAAAGGTCAGGCACTGAGGCTGAGCACAGGGACATGATGCACTGAGACTGTCAGTGGGAGAGTCCTGTCTCCCACCATATCTCACCCTGCTTATTACCACTGTGATGCTACTATGTATTCTACTCCTGACACATTACCCTCTACCTCTTCCCTCCGTCCCTCAAAACAAGGGGCTCTAACCCACACTCAGATGCCACAAACATCCCACTACAGGCTAATTGGTTCTTCTGGACGTTTCTGCCCCAGCATGCAGTGTTCTTGGTCTTGGACAGTCAGCCTTCTTTCCCTGATACACAACAACTACTTTACCTTCTACCTTCCCTCACTCTCACTGGAATAGGTATACTCGCAAAAGGAGGATCATTATCCCCCCACCCTATCTGCAAACCTACCCAGCAGGCTATGAGTTGCTGTCACAATGTCACAATCCAAGATAACTGGAGATCTCTCTCCACTCTGAAACCGGGATGCCTCTCTCCTGATAAGAATAAGGAAGTGGATAGAGACAAAATCCTCCCAAATAGACAGAGTCCCAAGGGGCCATCTCCTGCTTGCTGTCACAGTATGAAGAATGTCAATGGAGAATGTGAAAGAATCTGAGTGAACATAGCTCTTGAGATAGGAAACTTCTCAAACAAAGATGAAATAAATTAGACCTTCTAAAAAGTGAATGAGAGGACTGAAGTCTCTGTGGATGAAGATCTTGTGGCTGGGTGGACAACTCATTTAAAATGTTGGTTTGTGTGTGGAAAGAAGGAAATAAATATGGGAGGAGGAAAACCCACTGTTGGGATTCCACTTAAAAGAGGAAGGCGAGATGAGAAGCCACTCCTTTAGCTTTACTGAAAGACCAGCTTCATTGGGCTCTTTTGTCAAGACATATCTCTTCCAACATAGTACAGCTGAAGAAAAGAATTGGAAGCAAGGCCACCTGAACCAACTTCAGTGGTTCTGCTGAGAGACCATCTGTTGTTTTATCTTCCTGAACTGTTTCTTATCCAATTTAATTGTTATGATAACTATTATTTAACTTTAAGAGTTAATGTCTGAGTTTGCTTGTTTTCTTCTCTTCTCTTCTCTTCTCTTCTCCTCCCCATATCCCAGTTTTCTTTTGTATTGTGTCATTTAGATGGTAAATTTTTATTCATTTTCCATAAGGTGTTCCAGGACCTTTTTTGCCTGAACAGTTGAATAAAAAGGCTCCATGTACAGCTTTTTTTTTGGAGGGGGGGTTAAGGAAAAGCACTTACAGTGAAATTGTCATTAAAATAATGCTTTAATATAATTACATGGGGGCTCCCTTTGGAATGAAATGGACCTACTTGCCCAATCTCAGAAAGGATCTCAAAGAGCTGTAAAAGTTGCAGAGGCTGGCAGTCAAATGATCAGTGCCTCAAGGACCTCTGGTATAAGCAAAAGCTAATGTCTTTGAGTCCTGTTAATCAGGAGAACATAACCAAAGATGATATAAATGTTGTAGACACAGGGCCAGATGTAGTGCTTAAGGACCAAGGGATTCAAGATCCCCAAGTCCTCCACCCTCTACTTCTCTCACTGTTCAGTGGACTGGGAGAAGTAGGCTTATATTTGATAGGGACTACGGGGAACAAGCCTTGTAGTTGTCCATGGGCATCATTTTTTTCCAGCCTGACCATTTTTTCCTTATAGGCTATTTCTCCCACTTCTGTCCTCCCAGCTGATGGGGCTGAGAAAGTGTCCATTAGCTGGGTAGCAAGGAGTGAGATGCTCTAATATAGAGGTGTACAACTCAAGCTTTTTGTATGTCACCTGTTGCCAATTTTCCTCTGGTTTTGTAGTTAAGGCCAGGCAAATTATTTGGCTTTTTAGGGAAAAAACCCCAATAAGCACATCTTCTCAGGATTCAAAGCACATTTTCAAACTTTCTGCCTGTTCATAACATCTTAAATCAGCTGCTTCAGGCCATAGCCCCTTGCTGTCCAATGATAGGACCATCCTGACTTAGCAAAATCACTGTGCCTTCAGTTCAGAATGCAGTGGCCTGGTTGCAGGAAGGCCTCCATAATGCACATACAAAG